GACGAGCCGAGGCTCGGGTGGGCTTTGTCAGCGCGCTGCAGGTCTCTTCCCTCTCGGGATGCTCAGTGGGGGCGAGACCAGTCGGTGCGTGGGTCTTCCTGGGGGGAGGCACGTGGGGGGTGGCAGGTGAAGAAAACAGGCCCGTGCGTGGTCCTGACCCGACAGATGCTCATAGGGGCTCCTTCACGGTGCTTCTTCACGTAGCTTTTGGTAGCTCGTCCTCAGTCGAGAGCCGGGAGGAAGCACATCAGCGTTTAATTTGGTGCTGAAGATCAGTTTAATGTGAAACTCAACGAATTCAAGCAGAATTGGTATTGCAAAAACACCTGTCTCTGTGCAATGGCAAAGCAATCACAGCAAGACTCTTGTGTTCATGTAAAGGCGTGTTTATGACTTATTTTATCAAGCGCGGCCTCGGTGAAAATCAGTTTAGTGTGAAACTCAACAAATTCAAGTAGAACGGGTATTGCTAAAATACCTGTCTCTGTGTAATCATGAATCGGTCACAGCAGGACTCTTGTGTTCACGTAAAAGCGTCTTTATGAATAATTTTATCCAGCGTGGCCTCGGTGCTTTGTATTCCCCGAGGCAGCTGTGCCACGAGCGGCTGCCTCTGGAGCGACAGTGCCGTTGACTCGGGGCTGACACTGGCATTGCACGATTGGATTGGAGTGAGTGTGGGGGAAGAGCTTTCCGAGCTCACATTAACGCATTTTATGGGTATGTGAGCGAGCTGTAAGTAGGGTGTGTCGTTTGTGCAGTATGGCCACGTTTCTGCAGTGATCTTTATGTATTTGATAACTTGTTTATGTTTTTTTAGGTTGCAGGCAGGAGAAAGCTTTGTATGGGCAGAAATATTTTCTGATATATTAAGAACAACTCACAGGAGTCACTTGAAAATTAAAAATTGATGCTTGACATCCGGAGGAGATGGAGTGTGTGCCTTGTGCATGGTTGGTGTTGTCTCTTTCAGTTTCAGATCCTCTCAGATGTGTTGCTGAGAGGTTAAAAGCAGTCATGTGCTTTTTAGTTAACTGAAATGACTTGGCTAAATTTACTTTATTAAATGGAAAAAAAAAAATCCCTTGGAGTTTTATATGTAATCTGGCCAGGCCATGCAGGATTGCAGGAGTGTCAAGTAATGCCTGAGAACAGGAAGGTGACTGAAGGGCTAAACACTGAATGCTTTTTTTCTGTAAGAATCTGAATGTGCTTGGGTCTGCTCTTGTGTTCTTCATGGTTATTCAAAAACCTGTTGAATCCTGACATTCTTCTGTAAGCCTGTTATCATGGGCAGCTGACAGCTTAATGTCAGCCTCCTATGAACTGGTTCTGTGGGCAGAAGAGTTGGCTATTTAGTGGTTAAGTCCTAAGTCAATCGAAGGAGTTGGTGTTCATTGTCTTTAGTGGTGAACCAGCTGTTTAATGCTCCTGAAGTCCTCAGAATGCTTCACTGATATTAAGCCTCATCTCACCAGTCAGAAAAGTGGATACCTTTTTTAGAAATCCCTTTTGAGGAAGTCTGGTTAAACCCCACTACCTTAACTGGTATGAAGGTGGTAACACAAAAGACCAAAATACAAGAAATCTGTGATTAAGGCCAGTGCATGCCCTGCTGACATTATGACACTCCTTAGCACATGCTTTCATTTCCTGTTTACTTCTACTGGACTGTGGTCTTCATAATAATGAACATCTCTGCCAATCTGTGCAAGAGAAGCAATAAGCGGCCTGCCCTTCTCTAATGACAATCCTGAACCCATCGGCAGGGTCCTCGTACGCCTCTTGCATCTCCTGCGAACTGGTCTTTATGCTTGTGCTGATAGTATTAGGGTAAGGTTGATTTTTATACTGGAGCTCACAGTTGTGCCAGAATTCAAAGAACTTCATGCTGTTAATAGTAAAAATTGCTGAAAATGGTGTATGGGATCGCTCAGCTCTTACTGTCTTTAATGAGTACCTGTCTCTAATCTTTACTGTTACTTTCTGCCTGGGTTGAAGGCATGGTCTTGTTGCGGAGAGGCAAATGCTTGTTGGCAACTCCTGGTTTTATTCTTGAGTTGGCTTGAAAGATGGGAATGCCATATTCGGGATTATGTGACAGCGGCACTGCGAGGCTGAGGCTGTAACCCTTGCTGGTCTGTCGGTGGGAGCGAGTGAGCCGGCTCTGTGGTGCAGCAGGCTGCACTGTCCTGCTTCAGCTGCCAGGCTAGTCCGTCACAGCAGCCTTCCAAAAGAGCTTCCCATTGCTCTTGCTGTTTTATCTGTTTGAAGTGCTGCATGAATTGCCAACAACGTTGTTCCAGGTTCTTGTTTTTCACGTTCTCTTCTGGAATCTGGTTGTGATAGGAAGAAAGAGACTTTTAACTCTAAAATGAGAAGTTTTTTGAAAGGTTCAAATTCCTGTTGTTGCTGTGCAAGTCTCCACGTGACAGTTTTCCCCTGCTGTTTAAGTGTGCATATTGTTCTTACCCTGGACATCTCATATGGTCTAGATTAACGCTTGATAAGTCCTGACAAATCCTAGAAAGGGATTTGGTATTCTTACTTACCTTTTTTTTTTTTTTTGTGCAGTGAGGTTTCATGAGTCAGACTGGGCCGTTGGGAGTTTATTCTGAAGATGTACATGTTGGTTGAAAACCGCACAAGTTCCTATCTTCATCTGAAGAGGTCACCTGGCATCCGATCTTGGTCTGTCTTTGTTGGTAAGACCACAATATTCATCAGTTTATTTTGGAGCTTGCTTTAAGGGTGCCAGAATAAATTCCTGAAAGAGCCTCTAACAAGAGATGCCCGTCTTTCAGGCCTTTGTCTTTCAAGAAGAATTGTAATGCTTCCAACTTCTCCTTTAGTGTAGTCACTAAATGAGTGTGAAGTCTCCACTGTGGTAGTTTCACTGCGAGACTGATAATTTTTCAGTCTCTTACCTGTGGAACCTCAAAGGCTCATGGACAGAATTTTAAGTGAGTCCTGGAAGACAAAGAAGAAAAAATTCATTATATGCCATATATCAGTATAAATTTGAAGCTTCTGAAGGGGTTGCGTACTGACACTGAGAAACATCTAGGTTTTCAGAAACGGGAATATCTGCAGTGGAGTGATGTTTGGGTTAGATCTCATGGGGTTGACAGTGAACTCTTAACAGCCCCGTGTGTATGAAATAGGAAGCCATACAGGATGTTCTGAAAGGCATCTGTTTAAAAAAAACCAGCACTGAATATGCAGGAAAATTATATGGAGTGGTACTGCTTGGGAGGTGATTCTGGCCCTCTGCTCTTGTGAGACCCCCCCTGGAGTGCTGCGTCCAGCTGTGGAACCCACAACATCAGAAGGATATAGGCTGGGTGGAGCGAGTCCCGAGGAGGCCACGGAGATGCTCAGAGGGTTGGAGCACCTCTGCTGTGATGAAAGGCTGAGAGAGTTGGGCTTGTTCAGCCTGCAGAAGAGAAGGGTCTGGGGAGCCCTTATAGCACCTTCCAGTGTCTGAAGGGGCTACAAGGAAGCGGGGGGGGACTTTTTACAAGGGCCTGTAGTGACAGGACAAGGGGTAACGGGTTTAAATTGAAAGTGGGGAGGTTTAGATTGTATATTGGGGAGAAGTTCTTCCCGCAGAGCGTGGGGAGGCACTGGGACAGGTTGCCCAGAGAAGCTGTGGATGCCCCATCCCTGGAAGTGGCCAAGGCCAGGCTGGATGAGGCTTGGAGCAACCTGGTCTAGTGGAAGGGGTCCCTGCCCCTGGCAGGGGGGTTGGAACTGGATGGGCTTTAAGGTCCCCTCCAACCCAAACAATTCTGTGATTCTTAGGATCACACTGAGAGCGCTGGTGAGGAAAATGTGGCATATCCTGCTTTCCAGCTGAGTAGATCCCACTGCAGTAACACTGCAGCGTTGTCATTGCTTTCAGTGATGTTGTCTTGTCAAACTGTTTGAGACAAGATCTTTGCAGCTGCGGCAGCACTGTGGGGCAGGAGGCACTTTCCACTGCTTCCTCCTCAATGGGAGAAAGGAGCTGGCAGCTTCTGACACAGCTTTATTGCAGTTTTGTCTCCACGGAGCACTTAGAGGCAGGGGAAAAAATAACGGCTGTAGTGTTTATGTTAGCACGCTCAAAGCAGTACTGCACTCGAGAGGAAGTGTGGTGTAATGGTTAGATAGTGAGTTCAGAAAAAAATAACTGACTTTCATAAATCACAGAATCACTAAGGTTGGAGAAGACCCCTAAGATCATCCAGTCCAACCATCAACCCAACACGACCATACCCACTAGACCACGTCCTCAAGTGATCAATGTTGTGATCACATTTGTCCCTTTTTTTAGAAGTGATGGACTTGTGAATAGTTGTATGGTTTTTTCATCAGGGAATTTTTCATGGTCTGAGCTGCTTGTTTGTTCCTAATTCTCTCCCTTCTTTTCCTAGGAATAGCCTCCATAGGTTTGGCTGCTGCTTATTACAGTGCAGGTAATGGTCTATCTTTTTTTTTTGTTTAAGAACTGTTTTCCTGCTGATCTGTTTTTTGTGCTGATGACTCCTCTCTGCAGCTTCTCTCTGGCCTTACAAAGGTTGTACAGGTACCTATCTCACTTTGCAGTGTGAATATTAAAATCCAGTAATAATGGTTGCCTGTGTATGACTTACCGTGCTTTAATGCTCTATTTCTTACTCAGAATCCCTTTCCATTTGCAAGAGTATTTTTAATAATGATATTTAGCACTCTGTGGCATTTTGTACTTCCTGTGTGTTTTATAAATGTGATTAGCTGGTCCTCACAGCTCTCCTGGGAAGATACATAATGATTGTTTGCCACCACAATGAAATGATTACCTTGCCTTTGGTGGAAGTGCTCTGTTTCTCTGGAAACTGTTAAATCATCACTGGCAGAGATTACTCATAAACACCTTTAGAGAACAGACAGCTACTGCTGACAGCTACTGTCCTTCCCCCCCCGCAGTAGGGCAGATCGATCACCAGATGCCAGGTATCCTTCCATCTGCGGAATTTATCCTGCAGGCTGTCCTGTGATTCTCTTGCTGCATCCTATTAACATCAGATTTTAAAACTTAACTGTGTAGGAATATGCTACCAATATAATCAGTGTGTTTTTATTCTAAGAGCAAAGTCCAGTGAAAGCTGCTTGAGACACCAGCTATGTCAGCTTTTTTTTCTTAAGGCATTGCAACAAAGTTTTCTGAAACAATAGTGAGCACAGTTCAACTCTGCTTTCAGTAAAAGTCTGAGTAAGCAAATTGCTTAGACTCCTACATGTAAATGTTTCCAGAACCTAAAATGCAAATGTTTGTTTGTCAAGAGGGCTGACTGCTTCCTTTTTCTGAAGAAACATGTTTGCTTTAGTCAGTATCCATTGTCCCTTACCTGTGTCCTCCGCAGCACAGGCATTTGGTGCTTGAGAGCAGGTTGGGAGTTTTGTGGATGCCTTTTGAGATGCCTTTGCTTTCAGGGAAGAGAAAGATCTGTAGTGATGTTACAACCTTGCCAATAATACGTATGCTTGTAATTCTGCATGGTTTGGAGCCCAGCATAGTTGGAGTCTTTGTAAAAATGTGTGAAGAGTTCTTTCCCAGGATAAAAATACAGAAACTTTAAAATAGCTTGCATTACAATTAATGGCAGAAATGTTGCATCAGAGAAACCTTTTCCCCCCCCTTTGTTGCCTTTAAAGGGAGCATGTTGCTTTTAAAACTAACTGTTTAAATTCCAAAGAAGGAAAATAAAACTCCCTAAGTGTGTGCATTATTTTAATTGTTCAGACAGCTTGGCATGGAAGCTCTTCTATATGGCTGGGTGTTTCTTTGTGGCAGCACAGAATCTGGATCAGTGGGAGGTAAGATGCTGAACTCAGGGAAATGAGACACTGCTAGTTTAGAAACTGTTGGCAGATGCTGATTCCCGGAGCCCTGCAAGCTTCAGCCCCACGCACTTGCTTGGTCCAGGCAGACAGGTTACGCTTTTGGTTTTGAGGAAGCCCTTTGGGGTTGCTATATGAGGACTAGAATTAGGGCAGTAATTCTTTTGCTACACAAGCATGAAAATATGAGGATAAATATAGCAGTGTTTAAGGGGAGACTTGCCCCAAACTGTTTTGGGGCCTTTTCTTCCTCTTGTATAAAGTAGAGAGCAAGAATAGCACCTTCAGCTGCTGCAGCATGGCTTTGTGCTCACTGTGCCAGGTAATGACATAACGACTGTTAAATAGGGTAGCTCTAACCTTCCAGGCCATTCAGCTGTTTTCCACTGGGAAGAGTGGTGTTTGTGAAGCTGGTCTGTAATCTCGTGGATGTTAATTTGTTGGGAGTTGAACCGAGAACAGTAACCCGCTATATAGGCTTCTCACTTCACTGTCCTGAGATGTGATTAGAATAACCAGCTCACACATACGAGACATCCTCTTTTCACTGACTGTCAGATGTATCTTAAATCTAGCGTGAGCCTGGCCCGTGTAGCATAACACTGCAGTTTGGTGGAGTTGGTGACTGATAGCGAGAAGTGTAGCTACAGCGTGTATTCACTGTGCAGTTAACTGTGGGCCCAATGCACGCATAAAAAGTGAAAGCTACAGGAACTTGAGGTTAGCATTCAAATTTGATTCCAGTAAAAGCTTTTCTTGCATAAAGAATGTGGCAGGAGGGGCAGTGAAACCAGCTTTAAGTTCTTTCTAGGAGTAGCACAGGAGATACGGTAAAGGCTCTGTTAAAGGCAAGAGCGAGATTGATTTCCATAGTGTAATAACAGAGCAATGTCTCTAAAATAGCTATGTATTTTTCTGTGTCAAACATTGTTTTCCCATATATTTCACTTTGAAGCATCGCTACTGCTGATGTTCTTAAGAAAATCTTGATTTCTACTTTTTAATTTTACAGGAAGCTGTATTTGATAAGAACAAGGGAACAGTCTGCCTAAAAACATTCAATCTTTACAAGAAAATGCTGACTTTCTCAAAAGGAGGCCATGAACAAGGTGAGGAAGCAGTATCTGTGGGAGCAAATGTGACGGGCAGGCAGAAGAAATGTGTGTGTGCCCATTTAATAAGCTTCTCTGGAGTTCTTTACTCAAGTCAGTCATGTCTGTTTCCAGATTTGGTTTGTTAGAATCATAGAATTATTTGGGTT